ATGATTAAACAACAGCAACTTAAGGCACAAAACACCCAGGTCCTTCAGACCATTACATACGCCATATATGCATATAATTCAAAGACGGCAGAACAAACGCAAAGGTTGAAATATGGAGATTTGGAGATAGTATTGAAAAATGAACATTTCGAATTCGTTTGCAAAGGTGGTGCGGTGATATCAAATATAAAAGAAATTTTATTTATGAATTCAAAAATTAAAGGAATAACGGATGATATAACATCAATTCCACCAGAAGAACAGAGATATTACGCATTAAATGCATTTCCTAAAGTTTTGAAGATTGGAGGATTTAATTTAAATGAGGAATTCATAGAAGGTTTCCTAAATGACATAATGAAGAAGGCGGATAAAACATATGTGGATAGTGAGTTAGAGAAGAAGGCAAATTTGGTTTATGTTGATGAAAAAGATAATGAAATTAAAGAAAAGGTTGAATGGTATCATGAGTGGACATTTGAGACTTTTAAAGTTAAAGCTGATACAGGATGGGTTTCAGGATGTTTAGACCTTAAGGCGGATAAAACATATGTGGATAGTGAGTTAGAGAAGAAGGCGGATAAAACATATGTTAACGAAATATACCAAAGTTTGATAGGAACAAAAAATATTGAAACTATTGTTGGTGATTTTTCTGTCAATGAAGAAAATAAATATTTTAGATGGCAGTTTGTACACTCCTTAAAAAATGGTACACAGTGTAAACTCATTCCGAAAAATAACAATGAAATGTATGTAAGCTATAAAAAGAATGATGGTACACAAGTTAAAGTTCCATTAGACAACAACTGCTACTTAAACTTATATGGAGACGAACAAAAGAAATATTTAAGAGTTTATGAAATGGTAGATATGACATTGCCTGACCCAGCTCCAGCACCATATTATTATGACTATGGAGATGACGACAGAACACCACGTGTAGATGTACAAAAGCTAACATTATATTTAGATTATTATAGATATAAAAGATATAATGCAATAGAAAAAACGAGAATAGTATATTATTATACAGATGACAGAAATAAATATTATAGTCAAGATTTTACCTACTCTGAAAACTTAAGATTATATTATAAAAAATATTCTGACACAAACCAGAAGAAACCTGAAATAGTTGCACTATATTTTAAGTTCAAAAGAGACAATCCTATAATATCTCATATGTTTGATTTAATGAACCCAGTAGGTTCTATTTATACATCTATGGATGCAAGAGGTCCTCAAGTAATGTTTGGTGTTGGTGCATGGGAACAAATAGTTGACAGGTTTTTGTATTGTGCAAACTCTTCAAAGGAAACAGGGGAAGTAAAACGATTTCAGGTGAAAATTTACCTGCACACAGTCACTACATAGATTTAAGTACATCTCAAGCAGGTTGGCATAAGCATAGATATTGGGATTGGTCAGGAATGACAAAAGGTAAAGGATATGATGTTAAAGATGATGTTAAGTTTGCTATAAATTGTTACTGGAGTGACACTCAGGGAGAAGGAAATCATACACATTTCGTTTCAGGATATACACAAACAACGGGACAAAGTAAAGAATACATGCCACCATTTATGACTGTATTCGCATGGTATAGAGTTCAATGAACGCTCAATGTTTGTGAAACAAACTTTAGAACGGACTGAAAGTCCTGAGCTCCAAAAGAGTGAACGGCATAATTTAAATTTTTATTTTTATCATAAATGACAAAATTAATTAAGCCAACTATTTCTAAATTAATGATACCAATGAAATCATTTCATGGAGTACTTATCCCAGGTTCTTCACAATTAGCCGGGGCAAGTGTTGTGACTCAAGGTGGAACAGTAGCGAATCCATTCAAATTATTAACTAAAGATGAACTTAATAAAATGATGATAAAATGATGATAAAATAACTGATAACAAAATTTTATTTCACTGCTACCATGTTACCATGTGCTACCATGTCAATTAACTTCTTTTAAAAATGATGACAACATGACATTTTGACAACAACACAGGATTAATGCAAAAATAAATTCAAATCATACTTTATAAAGCTTCATTTACAGGTATTTCATCGTCAGTAAATGAATCCTCATTATCGTTTGGTTCAACCTGTTTATATAATCCTTTCATTTCTTCTTTCAAAACATAACACCATGTTTGTTTACCGTCTATTCTTCTATGTTTCCTATCACATTTATCCTTAATACTCATTTGGAAATTCTTGTCTTTCATGTCTGATGGTTTGCAGAATAGAGCATTTTTACATGTCATACCTGTACACAATTCATCATAATGTGTATTTATCCATACATCTAAAGGATTTGTTTAATTCAATTAAATCTTGTTTGGCTTCAGTCATCGGTATGATTCGTACATTAAATGATGAAAGGTCATATTGCATAAAATACGTCAGTAAATTATCATAAAATTCCTTAGTGCATGAATTCATCAAATTCTTGAAGTAATCAAATTGACCCTTGAATTTACCATTAACTCTTAAAACTACGTATCTTCTGTCTCCAACTTCAATTTTGACAGGGTAGACGTTTTGTCATGATTTCATCGTAATGAGTGTAAATGACCCAAAATATATTTTAGGGTAGAAGGGTAGATCTAACCTCATTTCTAACCTCATTTCTACCCTCTTGCGATTTTCATACGGAATCTCTCTCTCGGTTTTCCGAGGGAAGCAATCATATGAGGAAATTCTTCTAAAAGTTCTTTTGTCTGTTGGTTTTCAAACCAATGATATGCTTGCTTTGTAGAACGAAGAGCGTTCATTATACTTTGCATTTGGTACATGTCATCTTTGACCGAACGAATGAGGCGAAGTTGTTTGTTATATTGTATGTACTCGTATTCTTCATTTATGGCTTCATGAACGATAGCAGTTGTTGTGTTCTCTGATGTTGACATTACTGTCATTTCATACAAAATAAAAATAATTTTAAAACTAACTTTATTTTTTCTGACTTTCACAAAAGACCAAAAATAAACGCTTTACATGTATTTTTCAGCAACTTCGTCAAATAATTTTATAGCTTTATCTATCTCATCTACTTCAAACGTTTCTTTACCTTTCATGGGAGCACCATACCTTTTCTCAAACTTTTCAAGTAGTTCTGTTTCTGCAGCTCTCATATCATTAACGAACACAACCTTGACTCTATTGACTGTACTGTCATATCTTTGAGTTATATTATATGTTCTTCCTATCTTATATCTCTTTGTATTGAAGTCCTTCGGTTTCTGAACGATGTAAAGTAAGCCTTCACTGCAACGTTCCGTATCGAATGAACCATATGTTATGAAGTTATATCCAACAACTGGGTCAATCCATAACAAAACTATTGGTATAAGACTTTTGTCAATGAGATATGCTCTTGTTCCATGAAATGCTACTGATATCATAAGCTCAGGATTTCTTGTCAAAATTTTCTGAGTAGAAGCAATTCTAACCCAGTCCTTTGTTTTCTTTCCAGATGGTGTTATAATGTCTGACAAAGAATATTTGTTGTATTTCTTTGAGTATCTTACGTTTAAATCACCTATTCTAACCACTTTGGTGTCATTGTCTATCTTTCTAACTGTTTCAAACTCAATGTTTGTCATTTCTGTCTTTACATACAAAATAAAAAATTTTCTTAGAAAAAATTAGCGTTATTTTTCTAACTAATGAAATTCATTATTTTTGTTGCTGAATTCAATAAAAATATATTTTAGGTGAAGAGGTTAGATCTAACCTGATATCTACCCTCATTTCTACCCTCAAGATTTACAAACGTTTAACGTGATATACGTTATGAATTCGTGAAATTTTAAATATTTTTGTAGCTTCTATTTCTTCAGTTAATATATCAAAAATTTTAACAATGCCGAAAGTTTCTTTATACTTCTTCTTGACATCAGATAAAAGGAAATCATCAGCTGTGGGATAGTTTTTATTAAGAAATGTCAACATGTCCATTTTATCTTCTGCTGGCTTTTCTGCTTCTTTCTTTAAGTCTGCGTAATCGTTTCTCATTTTTTCTATCTCTTTTAGTGAGTAGTTATATTTCCTCATTGCTGCTTTACATTTTGAGCATTGCGGATTCATTTTTGCGTTATACATTGAAACATTACCAGCTAAAATAACTAAAGCAGCAATGGCTTTCTTTAAATCTGAAGCAGTTGGTTTTATCTGTTCGTTCCATACTTTGCCTCTTCTGTCTTTATCTCTTATCTGCCACACACATTCAGCAACTAATGAAACAAAGTTGTCGTATGTCTTAAACTCCCCAGATTTATATATGTCAGAGATGTTCTTATATACCATGTCGCAATCTTTGTCCATAACTTTATGGTTGCAATGATATCCTAGAAACTCATAGTTTACTTTACGTATGAACTTCTTTATTTCTACTGAGTCAGTTGGTTTCACTTCTATTTCATCGAATTCATGAATAGTGAGCTTTTGTTGTTGGATTTCAGGCAATTTGGGTAAATGGTCAATAATGTCCTGCATGTCATAAAGATACTGTTCATTTGTTTCATCTTTCGCACTACAGTCTAAATTACTTGTTAAAAGTTCTTGCTTAATTCTTTGTATTTCTGTCTCAAAAGTATATGAAGAAGGAATGAAGCTTTTCATCTCTACTAACATAGATGTAGGATTCATGACTAAAGAGTTTGGTGCTGTAGTTGTTTGAATTGTTGTAGAACCTATTGTTGAAATCATATCTTTACATACAAGATAAAAAAATAAATAAAAATAAAACTAACTTTATTTTTTCTATCTTAAGGAAATTCATGAAAATTCACGAGAAAGCAAAAGCAATCTGAGCCGCTAAGCGGTGAGGGTGAGAAAACAGGTGAAAAAACAGGTGAGAAAACAGGTGAAATCTCACCTCTTCACCTAAAATATATTTTTGTCTGATTTACATCCAACGAAAAAGTTTAGAAGAATTTTCTCATTCTTTCTGGTAAATGCTTTGTCTGATTTACATCTAATGAAAAAGTTTAGAAGAATTTTCTTATTCTTTCTGGCATATTTTTATCTTTCCAGTACTCCCGCTCTAATGGTCCCAGATGTGTTTGGCTTCGTTTCTTTTGTATATACTTTTCTTCTTGTTGTTGTGTCATTGAATTTGGTGTATGTCCTGTTGTAGAATTTGTTGAGGAATTATATACTTCGAGAAAATGTTTCATTGTTTCTTCGGTAAAGTCTCGCTCTTGATTTAAATCTCTGAGCGTTCTTATGAAGCGATTAATGATGCCGAGTATGTTATGGTTATGGTCTTCAGTAGTGTAGTGAGTTATGTTATGCTTAATGAGAAATTCTGTGATTTCGTTGCTGAGGTATGCACTGTCTTGGTCTGATGTTAAAGTACTTGGGTTATGTTCTGCTACAAACTTTTGTAAAACTCTTAACACTTCACGAGTTCCTTTATTTCTCATTATATACGCAAAAGCTTTGCGAGTGTTAACATTTATGAAGATGAGGAATGGTTTATGTCCTCCTTTTCTGCTTTGAATGAGAGTGTCAAATTGGTATGCATCAGGAGTGTTGGAGTAAATTGGTAAAAAGTAGTCGTAAGGATTTATTTTTGTTTGATGTACAACATTTTTGTCAAAGAACTTTTTAACTTCAGCTCTGTTAGTAAATCCCAACTCTTTGCAGCTTCATTGAATTTCTTAAATGACCTCCATGGATGTTGTTCGAATACTTCTTTCAAGCTCATTTATGTAAAGTTAAAGATTTCATTGAACGCGGTAAGTCTAGACCTTTGAGTCAAGGCTCAAGTGTGTTTATTGAACGCGGTACCATGCGAATAGAGTCATAAATGGAGGCATATAATCTGCACCCGAACCTGTTGGATTTGTTGTGAAAGTGTGTGAATGATTTCCTCCTGGTTCAGTTGGTCGAAAAGTCTTTTTTGCCGAATGGTTATAATCTGGAGATAAAACGTCATTGCCAGCATAATATTCTGAGTTGTATAATGGATGGTCTCTTAATGAGTGACTATGGTCACCAGAAAAGTTTGTAGTTCCTGTATGAGTGTGCGGTGGAAGGTTTGCTTCTTTAATTTTCTTCGAACCACCTGTTTGCTTTGAAGAGTTCGCACAATAGAGGAATTTATCTACAATCTGTTCCCACGTACCAAAACCTAAAACACTTGCTGGATTTGTTGAGTTCATTGACGTATAAATAGAGCCTATAGGATATATGGTTTCAAGAATCTGGACCTTCATTGTTAGAAGTTCATGTTTAACGTTTATAGTTTTATTGCCTTCTACAATATTTATATTGTTTGTTATTAAACCATTAGGAAAAGTAGGAGGATAAATTCTTTGTTCTTGTACAGTTGCACCGTCTCTTCCTGTTTTTGTTACTATTTCGATGCATGCCTTAATTTCTTTAATCTTGATTGTTTGAAATTCTTCATGCACGTGCTCTTTATCGGCTTTTCCATTAAGCGCAGCATTTACTTCCGACTTCTTTGCATAATTTTCATCTACATAAGTTTTGTCGGCTTTCTTATCTAACATTGCTGGTAGTTCATGTGCTTCAAAGTTTCTGGCATGACCTTCAATATTCCTGCAACTGTTATCTAAATTGTTTAGTGTATCTTTTACGCTTGTACTTGGATTCTCTAAAGGTGCACTTGAACCAAGGGTATAGTTCAGTATTATGTCATCAGCTCTAACAGTAGTGAAGGATTCATGTGTATGGTTTTTGTCTGCTTTGTTGTCTAAAGAAGTTTGAAGTTCATTTATATCGGAGATATTGTGTTTATGAGATTTCAAAACTTTGTTCATTGCGTCAAGTTCATTTTTGTCAGCTTTACTTTTAATAGCATCTTCAAAAGTTATTTTTGCCTTAACTCTTAACATAAATCTTGGTTTAACTAATACACCGTTAACAAAGAAGTATGAAGCATAAATTTTAGCGTTATAACCAAATGTTTGTGGTGCTATACCTGTGTCATACTGTACAGTACAGTGTATGTCATAACCTTTAGCACGAATGAATTTATATCTTCTTTCATTAACATTTTTCGTCTTCACTTTTTCACCCTGTGTTAAATATCCATGATAGTCCGTTATAATCTGTTCATCTGAACTTATATAATGAACATGGTTCTTGTCCGCTTTACTATTTAATGTAGCTTGAAGTTCATTTATATCGGAGATATTGTGTTTATGAGATTTCAAAACTTTGTTCATTGCGTCAAGTTCATTTTTGTCCGCTTTACTATTTAATGTAGCTTGAAGTTCATTTATATCGGAGATATTGTGTTTATGTTCTTTATCTGCTTTTTCGGCTAATTTCTCTTCTATCTCATTTATTTCAAGTTCATGCCTACCACCACCTCCCGAAGAAGTATTTTTCTTCAGCTCTTGAAGAACGTCCACTTCGCCATCTTTGGTGTCAATAATGAGACTTTGAGTTAAAACCTTTCCTGTCTTAATGGATGTTTGTAAAACTTCTTCTTCACAGTGTTCGGGGTCATGGTCGTCATCATATCTTGTGAAATCAGAGATGTTGTCATACATTAAGCATATCTGTCTCAAAAGTTCTGCTATTTGAAACTGGAACGAAAGATATACAGAACTTTCATCATCTCCTAAAGTCAAGTCTGCTTTCTTAAGTATTTCTTGAATGTATGCAATGAGAACAGAGTACCTTGGAAAATATTCGAACAATATTTCATTAGCTGTTGGTTTTGGTGGTTCTTCTGGAGTTTCTGTTGGAGTTTCTGCATCTCTTGACTTCAATGCTCTTGCTCTCAAAGACCTAAATGTTAGAGCACCAGGTTTTACAAAGGACTTTATAAATGCTTTAATAGTTCCTGGTAAGTTATTGTTAGCATTAAGTAAGTTCCTTATGCTTCCATCATGTACGTCCATAGCACTATGTAAAAAATCTATACTTTTCTTGTAGTCAGCAATAGACTGACTGTGATTTTTTAAAGATTTGTCAATACCTTTAAGCCAATCTTCATGCATGTCTGATACTGAGCCAAGAATATCATTTGCTTCCTTTAGTGTATTTTGTGCTTCTCGTAAAGTATCCAATCCCGTACGTGCATTGTTTGCTATACGTCTTACAGTATCTATTTGACTCCTTGTTTCTTGCATCCAACCAGATAAAGTTTTAATAGTATCCGAACCATTTGAAATGAAGTTCAAAGCATTTTTAACGTCATCTAAAGCTTCTTCACCAAGTACTGCCCATATCTTTCCGATTTGGTATTGAAGAACTCCATATGAAGCAGCTGTTAAACCAGTATTTATAAGGTCCCATATCCATGATTTAGCAGTTTTTCCATCCTTTCCATCCTTTCCATCCAAACCGTTTTCGCCTTGAGGTCCTTGTGATCCTTGAGGTCCGGTGTCACCCTTCTCTCCTTTCAGTTCATCTTTATGTTCGTTATAATATTCTAATGTCATAAGGTGTACATCATTACTGTTACCAGCAACGCCGAGAATTTGTTTCTCATTCATGACTAAATTCTTTAGGCATTTAATGTTGTCGTCAAATCGAAAGCTCTTTAACAATTCAATGAGAACATTCAGTACTTTCACTAATGAGGCATCTACTGTTGAATTTATATATTGCACCGTTCCATCATTTATGATGGGAACCTTGCTTGTTGTAATGAATGGGTCATAAGTGTTAAAAGTATCGAAATCAATGACTTTTTTAGTTTTTCCATCGTCAATGACTAAATCATTGCCTTCAATGGTTAAAGTTGAGTTTTCGTTTACTAGTTCATGTGCTCTTCTTGCTTCATTTGTTTCATACGCATATGCAGCAATAGTCATATTTTAATGAGAATAAAATGTTGTTCTATTTGCAAAGTACAGACCCAAACGAATACGGGACAGTAAAGCTACAAACAAACTTAGGTCTTCAGAATGAAGCGCTTGCTTTCAGAGTTGTTGACTTTAATACTATTGCTTCATTCGTTATAACTGACGAAACAGATTTCATGGAGCTTGAAATAGATGGAAAGAAGCACGAAATAAGATTTCACAATAATGTAGAATATAAGATGGAAACATTAGCTGGAGTGTTAAATGCTCTCATAAATACTACAATAAACAAGGATAACGAAGAAAACTTAATGAATGTTAAACTTATTGCAGGAGTTTTGAAGTTCAGTTATGCGAAGGAGTTTAAGATAACACGAATGAGTCATAGAGTTCAATTGCTTCTGGGAGCATACCATATGACATTTCCTTTGAAAGTGTTGACAAAACGATTGAGATGAAATCCGTTCCATACGTATGTTATGGCAATTGTTTGTATACGTTGAGTCAAAAATAGCTAATGTCACAGGTATTTCAGGAGTTAATAGTAAAGGTTCAGTAGAATATAAGTCTTTCTGTTATGAAGTAAATTCAATGTTCATTCCAAACGTTCCTGTCATAGTAACTCATTTAGGTAAATGGGTTCGCATTAGTCCTCATAATTTGAAAGACATGCAATTCAGACTAGTTGACTTTCAAGGCGAGCCCGTAGTACTGAAGGCACCAGTGCGAATGACTGTTGAAGTTGACTTTTTAGAAAATATTAAATGCAACAGCTTACAAAGAGAACTCAGAGCTAAAAATATAAAGTATGAATGTTATGTATTAGGGTATGAACTTTGGTTGTTGCTGTTTGATGAAACAAATGAGTTAGTTATGTCAGTCAAGAGAACAGAAAAAGGCGTCAAAGGCGCCGAGCGCAAAGCGCTATATTGTATTAGTGAAAACTGCACCAAGTCAATAAGATTAGGTTTGCATTATGAAGATGAGTTCGATACTGTTGAAGAAGTTTTGGATAGATATTACAAATTGCTTTAATTTACTAAAACATATTTCAAACAAAGCTTATAGTAAGTAGATAGTTTTGTATACTCGTTCGAATAATTATACTTAAACTCAACTCCTGGAGTACCTGGTGTTTCAATGATGCGGATGTTACCTATTTTCATGAATATTGGAGTTTGACCACAGCATTCGATTTCAGGTCGAGATAGTCAATGACACATTGCTTTCCTGTTATTCGTGATATAATATTTTCAAGGTCCTCCTTTGTTAGAATTATTTGGTTCTTACTTATAAGATTTGTCAAAAGCTTCTTATCGTCTTTGAGTAAAATTGTTTGGTATAACTGAAGAAGGTAATGGTCTACGTTATCTGAAGGATTTGTTTGAAACATTTGTAAGGGTTGTCGTTGGCTTCTCTTGAAAGAACTTGGTCCAGTGGTGGATACTCTAACTTAACATCTGATGTAGCGTTAGCGTTTGAAGCTGTGTTTAAATTCACGGCGCCATGCGCCATGATGGGCTCTTTGAGCCCTCCCGACTTAAGATCTGGTTCTTTTTCTTTCAAACACTCCGAACTATAGTTCTTTATGACAATATTGTTTGTCGTTCGTGAGTCAACATTTGATGTTGGTTCAA